AGGTGCAGCTCAGCCTCGAACGGGGCGGTGCTGCCCTTGGGAGAGCCTGCGGGCAAGGAAAAGTGCTCAGCGCGCTAACCCGACCGTTTTTTCCCCCTGCCTCGCAGCTGCTGGGAGCCGGCATGCTCTGCTGCGTGTAACCCCTACACTTGGACTTAGCTCCCCTTCCTTGCACACTTTCCATGCTTCCTTTTTCTTTCTTTTTCTACTCTCACGTGCCCCAGTAGTTCCCCTTTTACCTTCCTTCTTTCCTTTCTCATTCAGCCCTTTATTTCCTGTTTTCTTTCTCATACCCACTCCTTTGGTGCCTCCTTTACTTTTCTTTCCTTCTCTTTCTGCCTTCTTTCCACTCCTTTTCTTTAATCATCTCTTGCCTTTACTGGTTCTTTCTGGTTCTCTCTCTTTTTTCCTTCATGATTTCACTTCTTTCTTATTTCATTCCTTTCTCTCTTTTTTTTTCTCTCCATTTTGGGGTGGGGCGATTTTTTTAAAAAATCGAACAACTTAAACCACCACTACTCTGAAAACTTGGCGCTCGACCTCTGCCAGCTGTTGTGTCACAGGGGCCCCAGGCTAGCAAGAGGGGTGCTGCCCCGCGGGCGACCCCTGCGGGGCGAAGCCGCCTGGGCCTCACAGCCCTGAACACTCGTCATGGCCCAACAGCCCACAGCGGCAGGAGGCTGGGATTTCTTGCTCAAAGGGGCAAAGAAAAAAACCATCCTGGAGAAAATGTGTTAAGAAATGCCTGGAGTGGGGGACAGGGGTGGGGTACAACAGGCACAGGCCGCTCCTTCCCTTGGAGGAAGAGCCTGGCACAGGTGCCCTCGCAGGCTAAAAAAAGAAAAGGAAAAAGTCAGTTTTATTTTAGAGGGCTCATTCTCAGACTTTCGCTCTAGTCTTCCAAATGGTGTTGCTGCTGGATCACTTGGTTGGGATTTAAAAGACACCAATACTTCTTTGCCTGCAAGACTTCTGCAGCCAGCTCAAGGCGAAACTCCAGTATAAGAGGTTTGGAGGACCAAATGACACTTGTTCTGGATTTTTTTAACTTCAGAAAATAAAACACTTTAAACATCTTAACTCTTTAAAAAAATAAAAACCACACACAGCACCCACACATTTCATGCATTTCAAATACAGTTAGTTGCGTTTGGGGAACCCTGGGGAAATGTTTTCTTCAACACTTGCATTTAAAAGGTCACCAATAAGGTACAATTAAAAACTAAAAAGGAACGCAAATCACTGAGTAGAAAGAAATCTTCCAAAGGGGAAAAGCTAAAGTTCACCTTGCCTGAAGACACCACCACCACCACCACCACCACCACCATCACCACCACCACCTCCTCCCCTAAGCTTTTGGGTTTCTTGCCCTCATCAAGTTGTTGCTAAAGGCTTTAAGAGAGGCTGCTGTTTCGGACTTGTCAGCGCTATTCAGGGTCTACCCAAGGCCAACCTTTAGGGACTTTTAAACGACGAACATGGAGCAGCTAAGAGTCCCACCCCCAAAACGAAGTTGGGCCTCTGCCTTCTCCAAAAGGGGAGAAGTAGAAACAGTCCCCCTCACTAAGGCCCCAGGCCGGAAGAGTTATTCCCTCTCTTTCCTATGTCTCCAACTTGACAACCCTCCATGCCCGGGGTCCCCAAATAGCAAGCATTATAAACCAATGCCCAACGTCCTTTCGTAGATGCCTGACCGGCACATTCTTACCTTGCATTGCCTTTTCCTGGTCAGCGCGGCTGGCCAGCGGGGCAGGCAAGCTCTGCGCGGCTCCCAGAAGCCTCATTTTGCAAGGGCTTCTCCGGCCCAGGATGCTGTCGATGCAGTAGGAGGAGAGCAAAGTTGGAGATTTACTCTTGCACTCGGGCCTCTCGGAGCTGCCCTCTTCCTGATACTGATTGCTCATGGCTGGAGCTTTTTCCTTGGGCTCAGAGAGCGGACCTCTGGCTGGCTGCCTCTCCTGGCGGGTGGGATGAATGAGTGTGTGATGGGGGTGGTTTGGAAGGCTGATTATAACAAATATTACTGAGATCTTTGTTCCTCTCTGTCTCCCTCGGTGGCGGGCTACGGGCTTTCACCCTGGCCTCAGCCGGAGCTTGTCCTCTCCTCGCTCAGGACAAGCGGTTACAAGTGTAGTGAGCTGCGGGCGCGGAGCTCTGGAGTCTCTCGGCTCCACGTGCTGAGAGCAGCTCTCTGATTGGCTCTCGACAGAGGCCGGGCTGCGTCGGTCTGCCGGCACAGCGCAAAGCGCGAACTGGATTATGGAGGGGCCAGCGAGGGTGGGGGCAGGGGACTAGCAGCTGGCACGCACCAGAGCCAATTTCTTTTTCTTTCTTTCTTTCTCTTTCTCTGTCTCTAAACTAACAACTTTCAAAGTTTTCCATCGTTTTCTTGTAGTTCCTCTTTTAAGTCTTAAGGGTTGCTCCTAACTCTAGCTCATTTGGGTGCTAGGCTTGTGGGTGCCCCTTGGGCTTGGGACTCCCCTTCCACGATCCTGAGGACCTAGATCCCTGGAGGTGAAGCTGTAAGGTTCAAGTTGAGATCCACCTGGAGCTTTTCAAAACCGACTTTGTCCTCCTAGGACAGCATCTTGACCCCAGTACTGTTCAGTCACCATCCTCTCTAGGACAAATGGGCCTCCGACGTGCCAGGCGGAAACATCTGCTGTCTGAGCCTTTGGTTTTCTCTTATGGCTCAGAGCCTAGAGCTATTTGTCTTTATCCAGAGCCTATCTGTTGCTGTCTTGTTAATATCGGTTCCCAATATTCTCTGTCTCTGTTTTTAACTCTGGAATGAGAAAAAGGCCCTTAAACACAGAGAGTTCTGCCAAAGGCGCACAGACTTCCCTGGAGTATCCAGAGAGGCGGAAGGGACTGGGGAGCGCGAGTCCGAGGGGAGACTGGAAAAGAGACTGAGAGAGTCCCTTTTCTCTCTGTTATCTGTTTTTCCCACTTCCCTAAATTCATCCCTTTTAGACTGTTACCTTCTGGCTATTAATCCTTGAGCAACGCCTGGGCTGTGAAACCGCTCCCTGCACGGAAGGAGTGTGGTTCTCAGTTCCCTAGGACAAAAGGGACCCTTATTCACCTTGAACCAAGTCAAAATGCCTAAAATTTTTAATTTTGTGTCTGCCTCCCCCCCCCAATATCAAAAGCAAGGGAGTGTTAGGGGAAGCCAGTTTCTTCCCCCAAACAGCTCCCAGGATTGGTCACACAGGGAATCTACACCCAGCTCTGACTGAAGTTGGGTCGATCCCGGAGAGGAGCCAGCAGGGACACCTTCACTGCCTAGGTGCCGGTTCCAAGGGAGAGCTAGGGCCTTGACATTGGCGGGGCTGGGGCGAGGGAGGTGGGTGAGAGGTCGGGGAAGGGGAATCCATGCCAGGTTTTATTCTCTCAGCCCCTTCAATGTGTCAAAGAGAAAACGTTTTACAAAGGATTATACTTGAATCACTTACAGTCAGTATTTAAAAATACAAGAATACCTAACTGGAATTTTTTTTCCTAGCCATAAACATCTGCATAACTCTTGGATGCTAGTGGGTGGGTGGCACACAGATGGGGCTGGCTTGGCAGGAGCCCTCAACACAACTTGAAGAGGTAAAGGGCTGGGAACAGACACATTAATACTACTAATACAAAAGCCGCAGTACTACTAGTTGTAGTAAAACAGAGCGAAAAGGATTTGTTTCTGTCCCTCCGAGTCTCGATCTCTTCGGTATATTCATAGGCGTCTCAACACGTTTCTTCCTACACTCTAATGGCGGGGGCAGAGCGAGTTACCTTGATATTTGATTTTCTTTTATGCCCTCTCTGAGATTCCAAGGAATCTGAACTAGGCTTCTGTCTATTTTAGGGGGTTCGGTTTGCTGTCTCACCTTTTGGTGTTTTAATATGGTCTCAACTAGCTTGAAGCTAATGTTATGCTTGTTCATCGCTCCAGTTCTTAGTTAGCCCTGGGGACTCAGGGCAGCCCAGAGATATAAAGCCGCCTAGGTTTTCCTCGAGGTTCCAGCCAAAGACCCTCGCCCGAGTCCCTGCGACTGCTGGCTGGGGAGGTGGGAAGTGGGGGAGATGGATACAGAGACACTTTTCCCTCCTGGCGGCGGCGGTCCCCCATCGGAAATCCGCAAGACCCGGCTGCCGGTGACTCCGTGGCTTCAGAGTGGGCTCCACACACGCAGGGAGTGGGATGAACATGAATCCAAAAAAGATCCTGTTAAATAAAAAGGGTCACAAATGCACAAATCATTTCTCAACGCCCTAAGGGGTTTCAGACTCTCGGTGGAAGACTTCTTCGCCTCCATCCCCCCCTCCCCCCCTCTGCAGCTGTTCTTCTTTTAAAAGAAGTCGGACTTTCTGATGGGGGTGTATTCTAATTTTAATCACCCACTGTAAAGGGGGAGGTTAACATAGAATTTCTGATTCTGACTTAATGATCCTTGGAATTAAATCTAATTCTATTAATGGAATATAAAGAAGGTTTTTTTTAAGACCTGTGTGAAAACTCTAGTCTTCTTTGTTCTGTTATTTTATTTTTAATATTTTCTAATCAGTCTTCCCAAGTGAAGGAGGCACATCTATTCAACTTGGGGAGGAGGACCTGAACTACTTTTTTTCTACACTTAGCGACCCTGAGATTTGTCACAATTCAATACCCAACTTCAGAATCTACAACTGACTCCATTCCCCACAGATTAATTAGAAAGAAATGTCAGGAAACTTTTTCTGAGGCTCTGGATGGGGTGGCAAAGTCTAATAGTCTCCGCAGAATCTAGTTCGAATGTGGGCTTAGAATGAGCTATCCTATATGTCAGTTTTAGAAAATGGAATGATGCACCTGATATCTAGAAAGAATTTGATCCATTTGCTAAGCACACAGCCTTTAAAAAAATTTGATTATAGGACTATGTATAAAGGGGCACATAGTTTAGCTCAATTTAATATTTGCTCTTTCAGCAAAATGATACTTCTCTTTCTTTTCACCTCATCTTTACACTTTCTAATAAAAATAAAATACACTAATAAAAAGTAATTTCATTTCAGAGGTAACTTTAAAAAAAAAAACCTTTGTGTATTTCTAGTAACAGCTCCTGGCTCTTAATCTCTTGGGTCTGAACTGCTGGTTTAGTTTTCCCGAGCTGCTTGAAAAACAATGTTTTCTGGTTCATCTGTTTTTCAACTCAGTCACTAAAATAAAAATGACAGTAATGGCTGGAAGTGAGAGTCAGACGTGTTCAAAACTGTTGTTTATGGTGAGAAAAATGGGGCTTGTTCCCATAACTGGAGCAGGTGAATGGAAGAGACCCCTTTCTTTCTGTGGCGAGAGAGCTAATTCTACACTGTAGTTTCAAAATTATATTTTCAAGAAATACATGATAAGGGGGTGGCAGTTAGATGTCTTTATTCAGGGGGGGAAATGTTTGGAGGAGAGTTAACCTCACACACTTCCCATTTGAGATGTTTTAATTTATTGTGCAATATACACACAGATAAATAAAGCTGTAATGGGCTTCCAGTAGCACCGGATGGCTCAGGTCCCCTTAAATTATGCTCAACCTCTTCAAAACATATATTTAAACAATAGAAATAAACTTCATTGGAGTCTGTCGACCAATTTGGAAACCATTGGAAGGGAAGACAATAAGTCCTGATTACACGCAAGGATTCTCTGTGATGTGTTATCCCCTTTGCCAAGTCATTTTGCTGCTTTATTTATTTAATTTCTTCTTCTTCCTTTTTTTTTTTTAACAAACTTTCATTCATTTATGGTCTTCCGCAACCTGCTAATTTAACACTGGAGCGCGTTATTGCAGTGTTAGGAGGAGAGAAAGAGGGAGAGAAAACAACAATACTGCAATGATCCAAATGATACAGTAGAATTATAGCAATTATAGTTCTACTTGTGGAAGAAAACCTTGCTGAGATCAAGCAAACAAACTGAAGCCTTGTGAGGATAACAAGCCTCGCGATTGACAGCCGGTGCTGGGAAGAGCCGGAGGGCACAAACAGAAATATTTGCCTCCCCAACCCCCCTTAACTCCAACCAGTAAAGGTTAACCTTCTCAAAAGCTGCTTTCACAGTCTTCTCCACTTCAGGCTATGCATTTATGCACAAATCGAGGGTTTTCCTTCTGGAAGTCTGGTAATAGGAGAAAAAGTGACATAATCTGCTTGCCTAGAACTTGCCCTCACTTTCTCTGCTCCCCCCCCCCACCCCCCTGCACGCCAGTTTACCCTTCACTGCCTACCCTTGCCTCAGTTTTCCCGAGGCTGCTGAGATCCGTCTGTGGATCCGGTTTGTTGATGTGTTTTCAAAGGAGCAGCCCTGGAGAAGTCCAAAGGTACTAGTAACTTGGATTCTCTAGGAAGACACCCTCGCGTTTGCCTCCCCCTTGCCTGTGATCTCCGTCTGAGATAGGCTTTCCCCTATTAAGGCTCAGCGGGGAGACCTCCCCCCTAACCCCGTTTTGGAAGCGTCGTGTGGATCTCGGCCGAGCCCTCAAGGTATGGACATGTGGCTGTGATTACTGTTAGGATAACCCCTATTTGTAAACTTCCTCACTCTGTTACCCATGTTACCCCATCAACGGCAGGAGAGGGATGAAGGAGTGAGAACTAGAGACAAAACCGACAATCCTCCCCCTCACACAACCCCATCTACACAGGCAGGCGGCCACCCAGTCTTTTTTCCTCCAGGTTTGTTCCAAACACAAAGCTGGGCAAGAAGGTCGCAGCTTCAAGTCTGTGCTCAGAGCGCAAGGCGTGCTTCCCCTCCCATCGGTGAGAGGCTAATGGCTGGATTGTGGGTTCCTCACCCCGAGTTCCTTGGCAGGAGGATCCCATCTGCTGCTGCTCTTCCCCCACCCAGGTTTCCAAATCCCAGAGGAAAACTTCTCAGCCCCCTAATCGCCGCCATCTGCTTTCTTCTTTCCATCGCCAACCGGACCTCAGGACCCCGGGTGTGCGTCCAGGGTAGAGGGGGTCCCCATTCAGCTTTTCCTCTGGACGGAGGCAGGAGGGCACGGGATGGAACAGCAGAGGAGGACTTAACTCAAGCTTCTGTCTTGAGGCCTGAGGGACCCCCAGCTGTCCGGGTCCTGCCAGTCGGCACCCC